AGACCCGTCTGCGCCAAAGACCTTCCCATGCAAGGACGCAGGCCCGGCCCAGCAGGCTTGAGACCAGGGCCCAGGACAGCAAAAGGGCCGAACCCCTCCCCGGGGGCAAGGCCAGGCCCGACGGGCAAAAGCGCGCCTCCTTCCCCTCCCCACCAGCCGTGCCCTCACCTGGTCTCCGCAATTCGCTGCCGCAGAGCCTTCACGTAGTCGAAGCTGTCGGGGCTGCAGATGTCGTAGACCAGCACGAAGGCATCCGTGTCCTGCAAGCTCCAGTCCTTCGGGCCCGGCCACTCCTGGGGGCGGGAGGCCGGGGTGGGACGGGGCCGTTTCCCCCTGTCCTGTGCCCTGACTTCTGCGGGGGGGTCTTGACACTAAACCCACAGGTCACGCTCATCCTCCTCTGAGCCCTGGGCCCGACTGTCCCTGTGGCCAAAGCTGCTTGAAGCTGGTCGGCCACCAGCCCTCCCTCAGCCCAGGTCGCCTCTCCGCCTGCCCTCTAGTCTCTTCCTCGTCCTTCCAGCCTTTAACTCGGTCAGGCGCCTCCCCTCGGCTTGGCCCAATGAGGCTCCGGGGCAGCCGTTTTCCCGCCCCTAAAGCGAATTGCAAAGCCCGTGGCCTGGCGTGGGCAGCTGCAAACGGTTAGGCCTCGAGGACTAACACACGCTCTCATTTGCACCTGGGATGCTGTTGCCACTTCACTCGTCCGATGGGTTCAGCCCAGGTGCCGCCCTCCCTCCTCCTGCCTCTTCCCCTCTCCGAGGACTGAGTCTGTTCTGGACTTTCCACAAATGACTACACGAGTCTTTGCTCAGGTCACAGACAGGAGGGAGCAGAGAATGGCACCCCCTCCCCGAAAGGGCACCCCTGTGTCTGGCCCCAACTCTCCCTCTGCGGCTCTGTTCAAGGCCCTGAACACAGGATGCTCCACCCCGCACGGAGCCAGACCCCCAGGTAGAGGCGGCACAGACGGAGGCACAGACGGAGGCACTTTGCACATCGCCCGGGGCCCGGCTTGTGCGCCTCAGGCCAGCGAGAAGGTGGGACACACAACACGGGGGCACACGTTCATCCTTCAACCCATAGGCACCGTGTGCACCCTCGTGTGCACCGACCCCCCCCCCCCCCCACACACACACACACACTGCCAAGCCCTCCGGCCGCTACCTCGAGGCCTCCGGGTCTCTGACCGGGTCCAGCGCCGTCCCCGTCGCGGATGCTCAGGTCGTAGACGGCGCCGTCGAGCAGCACCGCCGGCCGGTAGAGGCAGGGCCCGTCCGTGGGCTGGTGGCGCTCGGGGTAGTCCCCGAACAGGAACTGGCGGATGATGGCCGTCTTGCCCACGCCCGGGGCGCCCAGCACGGCCACCCGCAGGCTGCCCCCCATGGCCGGCGCGCGCTGCCGCGCCCCGCGTGGGGAGCCTCATGGGCCGGCGCCGCTGTGCGCCCCGCGCGCCTTGCCCGGTGCGCCCGGGCCCCTCCGCTCCTCGTCGCCACGGGGAAGAACACGGGGCCGGGGCGTCCGTCCTGTAGAACGAATCGAGCGTAGGAAGACTGAGCCAAGCCGCCTGATGGACCCCCGAAGCTCCTGTGAGCCCGGACCTAGTGTGTGGTCTAAATCCCGGTCTTCACCCTAAACGTACAAGACCTCCCCCAGGTCCTCGGGACGGGTGTTATGAGGCTAGGCTACGTTTTCTTCACTGGAGGTATCCGCCTTCGAAGTAGGCACGGGACTGTATTGTCACAGGGCTTCCTTCCTCCTGTGTCATTTTCCCGTT